GGTTGCCATATGATTGCACGATGGCGAATTTAGGGTGCGGTTACACTTCCCAGTTATCGACAACTTGCTTTTTTCAAAGATAATAAAAAAAACCTTACCTTTTAACTATTAGTGGGGTCTAAACACTGATTTCATTACATCTCGCAGTGATATGAATCGAATCTGTAGTCAAAATAACAAAAAAAAAAAAAAAAATGGTGGGCCAAGTTTAAACCTGATCTGGCAGGTTTAAACTAAGATCAGCCAATCAAATATCAGCCAGCTGTTCAATTTAAACTGAGTTTACTTAATCTAAGTACGGAGGTTTAAGTTCTTGACTAATTTCAGCTTAACTGATTTCTTCCTTCTATAGATACGTTTAAATTATTTGAAATTTACTATCGAATAAGGTTTTTTGTTGTAAAATAAGTAGTTTATATTTAGCTTGCATCTATTATAACACGAAAAATTGTAGTTTGAAAAGGTAAGTTTATGAAAAGGCATTGGTGAGTGGCAACACTGCAATAAGCAACACTGGGGGCTCCAGTTGGCACTGAAAAACCATGAACCAAAAATACAAGATCACGTAAGAACGCGACGTTGTATTTGTAACTGGTTTTGAGAAAAAAGCATTTTATTGCATCATTTTACCTAAATTGTGCGCTTAAAGTGGCTGACAATAATTTTGGCTAATTTTGGTTTTCGTTGTTTTCTTTGGTTTGTTTACTTTTCGCTCGTTTTCCAGTGAAACAAGATGGCGTAGAACCCGCTAAAAAAATCGACTTTTTTCACTCTCTTGTTCTTACGTGATCTTGTGTCTTTCGTTCATGCTGAAAAACTGGCCCTAAGTGTAGTAAGTGAATAAAAAAGGTGCTATTGTGGAAAAGTTTTTTGTTAATAACTTTTGATCGGGTAAAAAATGTAAATTTCTTGTTACTGGGGTCCACACGCGTCTCGTGGTACCCCTTTCCTAAATGTTGATCAATTTTAGGGGTTGAAAGCCCACCTAGCTAATTACCAAAAAAAAACAGTAAATTTCCGCTTTCGGATTCTTGTTACTGGGGTCCAGACGCGTCTAACAGTACCCTCTTTCCTAAATTTTGGGGGTTGGAAGCCCACCTAGATAATTACCAAAATTTTTATACAAATAGGTTTGCCCAATTCCCAAAGTTTTTAAATTTTCATTTTGTATTATTATTCATATTAGTGGTATTCATCAAAATCGATAACTTTGTCAAGCAGATAATCTTATAAGTTTACGTACGTGAACGACCCATGATATAAAAAAGGAGGTAGTTTCAATAAACAACTTTTGACGTAAAATCAAATTTTTTGAAGTTTCATAAGTTGTGAGTATTCTCAACGGCCTTGCC